ATAATACATTGTTATGATAAATTAAATGATTAACTGTTTTTGTTTCAGCGCAAAGCCACACAGTGGGCTATCTGCACTCTCTCCACCGCTAGGTTGGTAAAGAGTAGCCCTGGATTTGGCGATGGACGGTATGGATTATCTTCCGTTCCTCTCGTCTATCACTTCAAAATTAGGGACGGGTAGCGCAGATAACCTTCGGGTAGCTTTGCAGGAAATTCAACAAACAAACAAAGCACCGCTGGGAATCAAGCCCAGAATTTTAGCGTTGTAAGTCTGTAAACTTATCGCTAATCCACCGGGGGTACAATAAAAAAACAAGTTCTGAAAATGATGGTACAGCTTTTGAGCTTTGTAATTAAAAATAAGAATCAGAATAGATGATAGGTAAGAATGAAAATTGTTGAGGGAAAGGAGAAGCATGCATCATCTTTATTTCCACAAGGAGTTGAATGAACGTTGCACGTGATCCACTAATATTTAAATTGGAAAATCCAATGTGACTATGTAAGAAAGCAAAGTTTTAAATTTCAAAAATAACTGTACAAATATTTTGAGACAAAGATACATATTAAAAGAAATAAAGGAAACCCTTATCTTGAAATCTTTACCTGAACATTCAAGTTTTATGCGCTTTTTTTTTTTTACAAATTACATATTAAAAATAATCGAAAATTAGCAGACACGAAATTGAAGGCTGTTTTAAAATTAATTTGGGTAAAGGTGATGGAAAGGGAGAAGGGGTAAACTACGGGAGGTGGAAGCAAGATATTAAAAAGAAATTGGGCCTTTGCCTGCGAGGAATACGACCTAGTGATGACTTTCCAGAGGTTGGAAGCAGTAATAATACTAAGGTTAACATGGCTAGTGGTGATAGATTTAATTATATAAGAGCAGACTCCAGTAGAGAACAGATTTCAGTCTTAAGTTTGTGCGTACGATAAGGAGAAAAGGATAACAAAAGGGAAAGATATAGATGGGAATGAAAAACACGAGGTTATTGTTATAGAAGATTCTTTAGTACAGCACGTGAATAAGATAATCTGATATATAAAGAGAAACAGAGATGCTATCCAGAGGCTGGGCTAGAGGATATAATTGACAGAACAAGTGATACAGTAAAAAATACTAGTGGTGATATTGTCTTTGTAGTGCGCATAAGGCTAATGATGTGAGGAAGGGAAGATCAGAGGAGCTAATTGTTAAGTATAAGGCCTTAATAAAGGCATTCAAAAAAAAGAGCAAATAATAACTTAATTCTGTCAAGGATACTACCAAGACTTAATTACGGTGATGAAATTATAAGTAAATTACTAGGGTTTAATACTAGATTAAAATGTAAGAAAGAGTAAGTTGAATGATTGGATTTATAGGATCAATTCAATGGGAAAAGGAGAGCTTTTTGGAATGAATGGTTTATATTTAAATTGGGTAGGAGCTGGTTTGTTTACAAGAGCTATTAACTCAATTGTAAGGACAACATTAAACTAGGGTTAGCAAGTAGATAGGGCCAGAATAATGAAAATATAAGATGCAGAGAGAGATTATAGTTTGGGAACATGGTACAAAGGTAGTTTTAATGGTAGGCTAAACTGTTAATGTTGTATTGGTAGAAGTATAGAAAATTAAATGGATAACCCTAAAGCACTTGTTGAAACAGGGGATTTTTGTATAATAGGAATAATTGAAACCTGGTTAAATGTAGACATTTATGATCAAAGGAATTTCTTTGGAATACATAGTTATAGGTTGATTAATTGGGATATAGAAGTAAAAAGAGGGGGAGTAGCTTTATATGTAAAATGTGAGTAAAAACCTGTTTACCATGAGGTTACGTCTCATGTGACAAGCTAATTTAAATAATATTTTAGTTTCACAACATTAATATCTGTACGTTTCCGCTAGCCGAAGCTAACAATACAAATAAACATGCTCAACTTCAACATACTCTAGCTAGAAGCTTTAATATAACTAAAAATTCATAGTTGAACTAAACGATAGAAGGAATAATAACTTAACGGTAAACAAAGCCATAACAAAATAAAAGTAGAATTTGTTATTTCAGAAGTTATATTCCTTATAGACAAAAAAAGGATGGTTACAAGTACAAAACCAGGTTGGCTCATAAAAGATAAAATTATAGAAAATCATCATATATATAAGAAGTTTAAATTTACTCGAATGATGGGAGATTTGGACGACTACAGGATATCAAGATAGTTGGTGAAATGGGAACTTAGGAAATCAAAATAACTATGTGAAAAAAAAAGGTTAGCTGAAAATGCAAAAATAAATAGTAAGAATTTCTTTAAATACTTTAAGGGTAAGCAAAATATTGGAATGGGAGTAGGATCTTTGAAGTACGATACTAGAAGACTAATATCTGTTGATTATGGGATGGCTGGGTTATTAAGTTTTATATTGTCTTGAGTTTATGCTAATGTTTGTTTGAAGTTAAGCACAAAGCTACACAATGGGCTATCTGTGCTCAGATCACCACGGAAATCGAAACCCTGTTTCTAGCGTTGTCAGTTCTCAGACATACCACTATGCACTGGGGGCTTATACTAGTGAAGATTTAAGCAATATTCCTGAATCTGAACAGTTGCTAGATAGAAATGAGGTTGTACAAGATAATAACATTAATTCTGAGCTTGTTAAGAAACTGTTGGGAAGTTTACAGAGTGATAAAGCACCTGAGCCAGATAATATCAAAACCCCGTTATAAGCCTTAAGACTTACCGCTGAGCCACTGAGGACATTCACCAAATAATAAGCAGATACTTAATAGCTAGAAACTATTTTTGTCTATCATAAAAAATGATAAATTTAAATATCTGCTAAACTGATGTCAAATTATTTTAACCGGGAAAAAATGTGCACTATTATGATGAAAGGGTATATGAGCCA